CTAGGAAACCAAATCATAGGGACCAGAGATATAATTTAGGGGTTGTTTGACGGTTACTGAATGATTTGGTGCATTTTGAATTAAATGGTCAAAATGATTAAAAGGCTCTTATGATATATTATCAAATGAAATATCGTTGTTTTGTAATTGTTTATAATAAAATTAGGGCGTTGAAGGGTTCAAGGAGGCCCAAGATACAAAACCATTCGGATGGTTTTAAAATCATTAAGAGAACTTTTTTTTACCAAACAAGATTCACTCTTAGCAATTCAGAGGTTATCTTTTAATGGAACTATTAAGATCGAGGTAAACAAATAGCCTTCTACTCTAAATTATTCATATATTAATCGTGTTTGTATAATCACTTACGGTAACTAATATTTCTTAATTATTGTGCATAAAGTACCTTATCAACGATAAATCAGAGACTTGATTTCATGTGTAACCAGTTTATTTTCGTGAGACCTGTGGGATAACCTATTTTACACTTTAAACTTCACAGTAAAACAGTGTTAAGTGCTTTCATTGTGAAGGTTCAGATTCTCTTTTACCTTCATAATGTTCTGCTGTGAAATTTCAAGTGTAAAACAAGTTAGCCCATTACATTAATATTTCAATTAACAATCTTTTTTTATTTATTTTGGATGGTTAGTCAAACTATTTCTGAACTAATCCGTCAAATTATGGCTGCAATAAAGCAACCATGATAGATAGTAATATTACACCTAGGGGTGTTCAAAAAAACCGTTGGACCGCTTAAACCGGTCGAACCAAGTCAAACCGGACCGTTTTTGGCGGTTTGAGCAGTCTGGTGGTTTGGTTTGGTTTGGAAAATTGTAAAACCGGGCAGTCCAGTCCGGTCTGCGGTTTGGAACCTTTTTTGGGCGGTTTGGACCAAATCGACCGCCAAATATATGTGTGTGTGTGTGTATATATATATATACATACATACATACATTATTTAATTATTTATTTTAATATTAGCAAGCCCAATTTTTTTAACTTATGGACTATGGTTCAAATATATATCTAAGTCCAACATAAAGTTTAACATCTAACATAATCAAAATGGATATTTAATCTAAAATTGTAAATTATATATGTTTTTTTTTAGTTTAAAATTTAAAGTCCATTAAAGGCCCCGCCTAAACCGGTCAGACCAGACCGCCTTTTCGTGGTCTGATTTGGCCGATCTGGACACTTTATAAACCGCCATTACGGTTTGGTTTATGGTCTGAGAGGTTAAACCGCCCAAACCGGACCGCGAACACCCTTAATTACACCACTTAAAATTATTAGTAAAACTGATTTGAATCTTTTTTGATTTCGGGGCCGTTTATCAAACACTTACTCGGTAAGTGTTTAACGATAAAATTTAATACTATTATTTACTTAACATGTAAGATTTTAGTCCACAAAACGACATCGTATGTAACAATTTACCCGGTAAATGTTTACCATGGTAAGAATCGTCGCCCTCACTTACCGGGTAAGACTCACGATCCTTGTCTCGCTCTTACTGATATTCATCCGGTGAGGTAATATGACTTGGTAAACGCTTACCCAGATAAGTGTTTGGTAAACGTCCCCTTAGTTAATTAAATTGGATTAAACAAAAGTCGTTCAACTTTAAAGCCCAATTCATTGAAACTCAAAAGTCAAAGACCCTAAAATAATACTATAATATCAGCCCAAACGTAAGGGCCCAGCAAAAGCAATCCAAAAGTCCAGAAACTAAAGGGCAAAGGCAAACCACGGGTCTTACCCGATCTATGCACCGACCTGGATCCGCCGCAAAGGACATAGCCATGCGGATCTGGGATCGGCCCGTGACCCAAAACCTACTTGATTCGGCTTCTTCTTGACCCATACGCACACTCAAATTACGGTGATATTTTTGGTTGTTTTTTCTTTGAGTTTTATATAAATTAAATTAAATTGTTTTTTTATTATTATGTTGAATAAACTATCTGAATAACTTAAAGCAAAGGTTTTTAACCTCAACCTAGCTTAAAATTCAATTAAAACACATGTTTCATATGTAGTCACTGTCCAAAATAACCAATTTCCTACATCAAAAAAAGCCATTACAAAACAAATACAATCAAAATTTACATATTGCTCAGAAGAATTGTGCATCTTCAAATCAACTCAAATAATATAACTTTAACCTAATATCTGTGAAAGCAACCATCAATGTCATCAGTTTTACATTAATGGAATCAACGACTTTTTGTCTAGACAATTGAGTACAAAACTAATCTATAAATAAATACAAGGCAAACGATGAATAAGACATTTCATTAGTCATAAACAGAAGACTATCATCCAGCATTCTAAAGAAATATAATACATATTAAAATAAGATGACAAATTCACATCTTATTGATTCAAAAAAAATATCATAACAACCAGATAAAAAGAACTGGAATGATTAAATGATACTGAAAACAAACATAACAAAATGGCAATTGCATTTGTGTGAATTATGTTTCAAAAGGTGGTTACGTTTGGTTCGTTGGAATTCGTCGGAATCTGATGGAATTGGAATGGTCAATTCCGATGACCAAATTTCATTCCAATGTTTGGTTACCTGTGGAATAGAATTGAATTCCAAAGATTCCCAAATTTGAAGAATTCGCCATTCATTACCAAATCTGATGGAATTGAATTCCATTCCATCCAAAAGTGTTTAAATGACACAAATACACTTATGCTCCTATTAAACCCTAGCTGCTGCTTATTGCTTGGATGTTATGTGTAAACACTTGTTGGTAACAATATTTATGTATGGGTATCTGATGTGTCAACTTGTATGAATGGTTTCGTTTATGGTTGAATTTTTTTTTCACGTTTTATGTTTATATATATTTCAACAAATGGTAAACATTTTTTTCCTCATGAAATGTTAATTTTATATTGTTGTTTGTATTTAAAACAATAAATTAAAAAAAATCGAAGTAATGGTATTTTTGTCTTTTTTTCATCATTTAATTTCAATTCTGTTGCAAACCAAACAGACAAATTTCAATTCATTAAATAGATTAAATTTCATTTATGCCAACCAAACACTTGGTCAAACATGATAACATTTCATTCCAATTCCTTGCAGATTCCAATTTCTTTGACAGATTCCATTCGTTCAGAAATCATTGTGCGAACCAAACTCCCCTTAAGGTTTAGTATCTTCTTGGTTTTTCATGTATGTTGATAAATAACAAATCATGGCTCGAAAATAGTTGTTTTTCTCTGTTTTTGATTTTATTACTTTTTTCACGTTTTATTTTTTCTTCTCGATGTCAATTTATCTTAAAAGTCGTCGTTTTTTTTTTTTATCTTATCTTCAGTGCAACATATATTTATTTCAAAGATCAAGGTCGATTCCGATTGTAAAAAATATATTTTATTTCTCAAATCGATAAAATTGACTTTTTCATAGTTAAATCGCATTGACTTTCTCTCCAAGTCAAACCATAATTTTACAGACATTTGATCCACCAGCTAAAAAAAATTGGGTCCATATCAAATGATGTGGATAGATTACTAAAACTAGAAATTTATATCTTGTGATTGATTCCTTAAAACAATTTTTTTATTATGACAAATTAACGAATAATACTAATAAAATACAGAGGCAAAGATCCTATTTGACCATCTACTAAAAAGCTAAAAACCATAATCGTAAAATTACCAGACGTAAATGAAGTTTAATTACACGTGAATTTATGTCCGCTCATAATTTCTGTAATAATCAAGATATTTGATATTTAATTAATCAGATTTTGTGGGATTTGAATCTTACACTTTGATGAAAGTTTTATTAATTTTTTATTGTTGAATCACAATAAAACTTCACATTTCACTACATTGCATACATACAGAACTACTTACGCACATTGATCATATTTGATAAAGTTTGAACTGTTAACCTTAAGAAAAGCTTAGCTCTACATATAACACACGATACCGTTGATGAAACCATAAATGAATTTCTCTCGTGCATCTTTATTTCAAGTAGAATCGGTGGTTAATTTTGGTTATTTATATCCATTTTTAGCTTTACTATTTGAAGATTTGAGATATGTTTTGGTGATATTGCCTATGTTTCATGTTATCGAGTTCGTGGGTCAACCCGAGTCTCTTACATCATATTATATATTTTCAATCACAAGGGTGGTGCCTGATTGGTTTGTGCTTCACTCCAAAGGTCAAAAGTAACAGAAGGTCCTAGGTTCAAATCCAAGGAGGAATAAAAATCCCCTTATGGTCACGGATGTTCAAATGCGGTGACTCTGGGTTATCTACAAAACAGGTGGTCGTCCTAGAATTAGTCGGCTCGCATACCGGGTTGGATATCCAGGTTAATAAAAAAAATTATATATTTTCAAAAATTATGCTACACATAATTGTACATCTAATTCAACAACAACAAAAAAATCAATTATAATAACAATTTGCAACAAACACAATAAAAATACATATAAATTGCTCTCAAAATACAACACAATTGTACAATAAACAAAAGTTACTTCTAAAACATAACTATGTGAGGAGGCTCCCAGGAGCAGATCTAGCCCTTATTGAATGGGGGTAAAGGCTCCAACTCAAAGATAAAAAACGTTTGTTAATTAGTATAATTTTTTATTTTTACTCTCGTTTTTCATGGTTTTTTCCCAATCTCATATCACTATATCTTTACTTATTTGAAACGACTTATATTTTTCTACAAAAACATTTACCAACTTATTATAAGTCAGAAGGGTTTAACTTTTTCAAAAACTCTTTATTACCGATTTGGCGGTATAAATTGTTTATCTATACACTCAGAAGTGCTTATTATTGATGTCACACCGAAATAAATAAGTTATCTGAATAAGGTTTACTTATAGTCTAACGTTTTCTTCTCCTTATATGGAGTGCAAATTTAACCACGTTGAACAAGGAGATGCCAAGTCCTGATTTTAATTCTTTTTTTGGGTAAATTGATTGCATAATTAAATAAATACGTTGAGTGTTATGTCGTCGCTTTTCGAAGCAAATTCCCTTCTAATAAACAACCGACCCAAAAGGGGAAAATGCGAACGACAGAAGATCACATATTGATTGCAAAATCCATGTCTTTGATCGTCATTCGTTTAAAAGAACCAAGATTGAATCCAGTTTCTTGATTCCATTTCAGATATTTATCCAGAAAAGGAAGAAAAGCCAACTGTTCGTTAGTCTCTGGTGAGATTCTTTCTTTCTTTCAGTCCCCAATCTTTTACGTTTTCCATGTTCTTCGTATAATTTGTTGATATCATCATGGATTTTACTGCAGTTTTGAGTACCCTTTTGTCAGTCGAGTAGATTTCCTACAAATTTATATAACACCCTGAAGATGTGTTTAAATCTTTGAGTGTTGATGATTAATTGACCATAAAGATCTGATCTTTGGGTATTTGTTTTTGAAACCAGACCAGAGAACCCAGTTAATTTCACACAGATTAGGGTCTGAAACCGTTGGATGTATGCAGACTTTACTTCTGTCCGACGACGAAAAAGACTGTTTCCGAGAAGAGCGAAGTGATGGCTGCAGGGGCGGTTTGGAGACGGACTGCAAACCGCTGTTTCGATGCGAAAAGAGCTCCTAAATTAGCATGTTCAACTTCATCCTTATTGTCAAAACAAGTAGATAACATTACAGATGTGAATGACAGTTTCTCCCTTCTCAACAACAAATTAGACCCAAGATGGTGGCTTGAATTGCAGCCTGATTATATATACCAAATGGGTTTGACCAATGAACAAGTCAACGCTCGTAATCATCAACAATTCATCATAAATCCAAATGGTACTAGTATAAGTTCTCTGTCAAAAGAATCTTACGAGATGGATCCTGTAGACTGGAAATTTCAGCAGTTTGAGAAAAATGGTGAGCTTCAGCTTCCATGGTGGCAAAAAGATGATTTGGGTTCAAATGTTTCCAAGAGATGGCATGATCTTCACAAGGGTTCAAACCCACAAAATGCCGTTTCACGAGTTCAAGTTACAAGCAAGCCGATCAGGTATCATATATCTCTCGTGTTCGGTTTGGAAGGAAACTTATTAGTATTTATTTTCTTTTCTTAATTTTTTTGGGAACATGGGTTTTCATTCCTTGGTTTTTGCTGATTTTCCTTTCATTCATAAAAGAGGACTCGAGAACATAGTGTTAGAGAGTAATCTAATAATATTCCACGTATTCTCGTAATAGTGTTTTTGGGTAATCATCTTTACTGATAATGTGTCTCATTCGGACAGCCCGCTTGGCATGGCAAACAGTAACTGTGCAATGCATCACGGTCCAAGAGAAAAACCGATATCCAAGGTTGATTCAAGCAAGGCGAAGATATTAGAAGCTCTTCGACATGCTCAAACACGTGCAAGAGAAGCGGAAAACGCAGCAAAGGAAGCGTACGCAGAGAAAGAACATGTCGTCAAACTCCTCTTCAGACAAGCATCCCAGTTATTTGCATACAGACAATCTCTCTATCTTCTACAACTTGAAAATCTTTATTACCAAATCAAGAACAACAAGACCAACAGAGTGTCCAAAACTGGGAAATTACACAAGAATCTGAAGAAACCACCACCGGCAAAACGGAAAACACAAAGCAGAGATGGTGTTGGGCAATATGAACATGATATAGGCAAATATGCGGTTGTTTTTCTAATGGGATTGGGGCTCGTTGGTGCAGGGTTGCTTCTTGGATGGACTGTAGGATGGATGTTGATTTAGGGCCGATACCAACACAAAAAGAGTCAAAGTGTTAACCGGGTAAGAATACAGTATGAGTCAACACTGATCCGGTCAGCATTAGGGGCCGGTAAAAGGGTTATTGTAAACAGCAACATAAACAACCCCTAGTATTCAGATCTTCTAACTATGTAGCCACGGACGGTGTACAAAGTTCAATTTTCTGGTAGCCGTTCCATAAATACTTGTTCTTTTTTCGTCTTGAAATCATGTTGGTTGCCTTCATTAAAGGTTTGTAATATCTTTCCATATATGTTATTAGTTGTATCATATGGAACCCCATGATCCTAGGCTAAATATATGCACCAACCCATTGATTCATAGGCCACCAAATAGATTTTCCGAAGTTACCCACAAGCTTAATCAATGGCTGATGACTTAGTTCCAGTTGCATATCAAGAAAATGAAAACAAATTTTTTGGCTGTTGCCTCAATGCCAATCTGGTTACCATTTCTCGTAACACAAGAAGAATACATATGAGGATGAGGTTGATGATGATGATGATGATGATGATTATACGTACATGCTCTGCAAATACAGATATTATATATATAAAATTATGTATATCTATCTACTAATACAAACAGAGGGAAGGCTAGAAGAACCCATGATGGGTGTGGAAAAGATAGTAGGTATCCCAAGTCAATGAGTGAAGGTTTTCTTCTTCCATGGAACAACATGCTTGAATCCTTCATAAATGGCAGCCTGCATAAAAAAAAAAACATCACTTAAAGTTAAAATATAACCCCACCTGTTTACCCTTTTTCAAACCCCACCTGTCCACCATTATTTGCTGCCAAAATTTCAACTTAATTAATGGCAAAAATCAACCCCTTCGATTTGCTTTACAACTAATCTGCTCATTTTGTTACTGATTATGTTTGATTTCATCTTGTTAAAAAAAAAAAAAAAAGAGAGAAGTAATAGCTTTTATTATTCTTTTCTTCAAAAGATGATTGCAGTGCTTACCCAAAAGTGGGACCTGGTGACTTTTGACAGACTTGAATTTCTCCTCATCTTTTTCCCCTTCTTGTCGACTGTCTCCATGGAAGACGATGAAGATGGTGAAATCAGACTACTGCTACCCTTAGATTTATGGCTACACTTTAGCCTGAAAGATCCAAAAAGGCCTCTACCACCACCACCACCACCATTTTGCTGTTCTTGCTTGTTACCTAGAAGCAGCTGCTGTCCACCACAGGAATCGTCGTTGGGACTCCACCCACCGCTACAGCTACTGTCGAAAGACCCTTGTCTCTGCCCCTTACGACGTCGTTCCCTCGCGAATCTGAAAGAAGATGAAAGCAAGGATTTGCCACTGAAATCTCCGGGCCCATCGAGTACGGTTGTAGGGGAGGGTGTTTTGTTGGCAAGTCTTGGAGGAAGATCCAAGCATCTGTTAGTAGGCGCTACTATGATGTCCGTACAGGGGCGTGGCTTACCGGGCTGTTCTTCCCACCGGAAAGGAACAGAAGCGGAGGTCTGAAGCGGCGGCGTTAACATGCCGGATGGTTCATGGAGGTGTGGTGGGATGGAGAAGAGTGGGAGCTTAGGAATGGAGTCTGGGCCTGAGTCGGCATCGGATTCCATTCTTCTTCTGTCTAGAAATAGAAATGAAGAAACGGAAAGGTACAAGGAAGGGTGTTTATAGCAGGAGTTGTTAGGTTGAGGATGCCATTACGTCAATCGACAGAAAAAGACCATACCACCGAGTCACGTGACTTGTGCGTGACAATTTCATGGCCTATGTCTTTAATTTTAGAAAATAAATTACACCAATATATATCTCAAATAAAATTATTAATGTTTATCTATTTTAGGACATACATGTAGCTTTGTTATATTATTTTATAATGCGATAAAAAACTTTGGATATAACAGGGTCTATAAAAAGATTGAAACATTCTTACACACAACCAAAATAAAATATTGTGTAAATTTAGAAAAGTCTTGTTGATATTTTATTTTCACTCACCAATTTTTCGTCATTATATGTATGTTACATCTTAATCTCTTAGAAACAATCATGAAGATGTTTGGATTTAACTTTATTTGTTACTTCAATTCGTTGAAAACACGAGTAAAAGTTTTAGCGGTGATTGATGAATATAAAGAAATCCCAACAGAACAATTACAACGTTTGGAAAATCTTTTTACAGCTTTAAGGGGTAAGCTTAACGAAGAATGTGGTTTGGGTCATGGGGCTTATCTCCATGAGTAACCAATTAGAGTCGTTTCAAGACCATTGAAACTATTCCTAAATGATCTCTAAAGCCCTATAAAATATAATCAATAATGTACTGAGACATCCACTATTGACAAAAAAGAAAATGGGTTTTAAATGATTAAGATGAGTGGTTATTATAATAATTGATGTCTTAATAGATTTATGTTGTTATCGTTAAATTTTTAAATATATTGTTCGAACACGAAAGCACAAAAACGGAATACATTTCAACCAATAGAATTTATTTAAAAAAATCAAAGATATGAAAATGATAGATACAAAAAAATAAGAATTAAAAATGGTAATTTGAAGTAGGGAGAGGGAAGTCATATGAACCACATATCGGACGTTTACCCTTTTCATGAATAAAGTTGAAATAAATATGCAGGAAATTTAAATTAAAGATAGAGTGAGTTACAAATTTGGTCCCTATAGTTTATATGTTGTAACACTCTGATCCCTATATTAAAATATTTATGGATTACATATATCTAGTTTGCATTTTATTACATATTGAGTCCTTAAATCTAGTTTTGACTGGAGTCTCTGTGAAACTGGTTATGTGCACCACGCACAATGGTTGTTTGGTCATTTTCTGTATTTTCATTATTTTACATGAAAACAATAAAAATAAAAACCAATAACATATTGCCATATGTTTCTCTTCCCTTCCGTTGATTAAAGGGGTTCTCCAACAACTATTTCGGCCCACCATTACCACCTGCGACTTTCTTTTTCCTTTTGTCTCCTCGTTCTTCAACAGGCATGGAAATGGGGGGGACCTCAATCCCCATCTCTGTCCTGATTCCTCTATATCTCGTCCTCATTCCTGACGGAGAATATGATCACATCATCATCATCATCCCCAATAGGAAAACGGGAATTTTTTTTCCTGTTTATGTAAGTTATTTTAAATCAAATATGTGAGATACTACACATGTTTAAATTTCACATATTTTCAATAAACCTAAAACCAAAAAGAATTTAATTTAATATAAAAAAATCATAACATTATATAATTCAATTTAATCCAAAAAAACTCAACGTCACACATACCAGAACGTATCGAATAATATAAAACCATATCGAATAATATAAAACCATATCGAGCAATATCCATAACATATCAAGTATTTATATTTGACACAAAATATTACAAACTAACATCCAAAAAAATAACAATTTTAGATTCTAAACCTACTTAGGTAATAGCAAACTATGAATTATATATATATATATATATATATATATATATAATTTTCCACTCGTCGCCTTCCTTCCCCTACCTCTGTCGTCTTTGGTACTAGGAGTACTGGTTGCTTGAAGTATGATCTCTCTTCTTTCCTGACCATTATTCACTTTATCATCACCACCTTCTTCTACTTGTTGGGTGTTATCGTCTTCTAGGTTTTTTCTTCTTCTTCTTATGGGGTTTTTTAAGGTGAAGATTTCGATCTTTTCTTTGGATGAAACGGTGGAACCGCCGCCTCTAATGAGTGGTTTTTTGGTGAGTCGATGATATGGACGTTGATTTGATGGCGGATAATATCAAGTATATATAAGGTAAATTACATGTTTGGTCCTTGTGGTTCAAATAGAAAATAAAATAAATAATGAAAATGTCCCTCTTAGTTAACCCATTTAACAGACATTTTTGGACGGAGTCAGATTTAAGGACCAATTTGTTATAAAATGCAAACCACATAAATGTAATCCATAGATATGTCAAAATAGGAACCCAAAATGTTAAAATACATAAACCATAGGGACCAAATTTGCAATTCACTCTTAAAGATATGAAAACGATTTTAAGAATTATATTAAAAGCATTTTATTTCTATTTTAACAAAAGAAATAAAAAAAGAAAAGGTCTTGGCTGCAATATGTTCTTTCTTTGACTTTATTTTCTTGTCTAAAACCCATCTAAGGTTATTAAAATTCAAATGTATTATTAAATAATGCACGCTTTTCTTAATTTATAAACAAGATTTGAGTTCATATGCTTAATATTGCTCAAAATATCAAGATTATGCTTTATATTGACAATCAATTAAAATATACGATTATTTTATTTCTTGCATTTAATATGATTGTTGAGAATCTACTAATATGTACATTAGACAATTACATTATCATGTACCCTCTTTATATACACATATTTTCAATCTATTATTCATCTCTTTATAACTCATTCGTGTATGTGTTCAGTACTGTGAACATATATATGCAAATTGAGAAAATTAATTACGTAACATTTGAGAGCATGGATAAGTTGTATCAAATGGTTAATAATGAAAAAGAAATTACGAGTACAAAAAATAACATATTCAAGGCAAGAAGAATATTTTAATGTACCAAAGTATCAACACAACCAACTCGTACAGTTTGAGTTGGGGTTGGGTTGCACTATGTTTTGGATTGAGTTGGGTTAAGATTCTTTAAACCGCAAGCATTAGATTAGATTGTTTAAATGTCTTCAACCTGATCAACTCAACCCATGAACATCCCTACATATAACAATTACCGAGAACCTTGTGTCGACACCATTGTGTGGTTAGTTATAAAGGTCAAAGGCATTCAATGTGTCTTTAGTGTTTTATAATTTGTTAAAACAATTGAGAAGGACATATTCTAGAGAAATTATAAGAAGTAAATAAATGATTTTAATAATAATCAAGAGACAATAATTAACATGTAACGTTCAAGAATTATTTAAAAACATAAAATCGGTAGTCCAATGGATCCACTAAACTTTCTTTTTTTGTTATTTGCGAAATGACTTGAAAAGTTAAGCATATTTTGCAAATGATTGCAATAGAAGATATCTTTTTATATTTTAGACAACATTAAACATAAAAACTCAAATTTCCCTTTTTCTAAATTTATATCAAAATTGGTTTCCTTTCGGTTTTGGCAGGATCTTAAAAAGTAGCTAAATAAAATAACCTAGTTTTAATCAACCGACACCTATCGGAAACAACATTTTTTTATTACAACAACTCAAACATATATTTACCGAGTGAGAGTCGTAACCCTCACCTACCAGATAAGACTCTTCATCGTACATACCAGATAAGATTCTATACCGTTCATCCAAAGTAAATGATCTGATAAATGCTTATTAGATAAGTGTTTAGTAAACGGTCTTTAGAGGAAAAGAAGACAATTATTAAAATGCAAATTATAAATATATTTAGTTCAATATATAATTAGGAAAACCATAAAAGTATTAAATAATATTAAAAAAGGTTTATGAGCCCCCTAACGTTGCCTTCAATCAGCAGGGTCAAGTGGTGGACATAATTTATTTCAATGTTCATTCTTCCTTTCTATCATGTGGTGGTTATTTTTATTTATTTTTATTCTCTTTTATTTATATTTTTCCAAAGAGACAAAAAACACATGTTTTTTTATATATAATTAGGATTTAAAAATAGTCAAATTAATTAAGCAAAGATGAATAAAAGAAAATATTAATGGGTCATCCATATGTAAACAAATTACCAATAAAAAAAAGAAACCGAAAAATTTAAATAAATAATATTGAATAGAGATAATCTATATTATTTATACTATATTACAAATTATTTGATAAAAGCTTTTTAAAAACCATTTATATATATATATATATGAAGTATTGTTTATTGATGCATATTAATTAAAACTTAAAATTACAAGTAAATTATGTATAAATACAACTTATAAAGTTCTTTGTATTTTGAAAGGTGAAGAGTTAGTACTTTTTTTTTTTTTTTGAATTTGTTGTAACTAACTGTAGATAAAGATAATCAAATACAGGAAAAACATCTCATTTTAGATATAAAAAATTTAAAATATAATTAAGATAATCATTGAATTCTAACAAAATACTTAATTATTATCTTTACAAAAAATTATATTATTAAAACAAAAATAAATTAAATTATAATTTAAAATTAAATTAAATTAAAAAACATAAACTTTTAAATAAGTTTTTTTAAAACAATTCAATTTTCAGTTTACAATTTAAAATTAAATTACATTCTCATCCAACATATACTCTTTTTAGTATTAAAAATGAGCATGATCCACGTTTAAGTCATATTCTAGGGGATTAAATATTAATGAAAAATAATACTTACTTGATCTTTTTAATTAACATCATTATATTACCAATGAATTTTCAATATATATATATATATATATATATAT